TTCATATTTTAAGTGAATTAATTTGTCATATTTGTTCATATGTGTATAATTCAATCTGCCATACATATACTGTACTGCACATCCCAGCTGCTTTTCGGCAATAACAATGTAGACATTTCATTTTTCTTATTCATAATCATAAATTTATTATACATATTTCAATATTGTCCAAGTTCATAAGTAAATTGAAATTTTTGGCAGATAATAGTTTTCATTTATTTTCCATTTATTTCACAATATTGCACATTCTAGAAATGTTCCTGAATAAACTTCAAAAAGATTTATCAAAAACCGAATAATCGTTTAGAAGGAGTATACAGTGAGTGCTTGTAATTTGATATAAACTTAAATAGCATCAAAGCTCAAATTGACTCTACGTTTTAGTTAGAAAACGTTTGTATGAGAAAAAGAAAAGGGTTGTTTTTAGGGTTTTCCTGGCAATTATTCGATTTTTTCGCCGTAAGAACCATCCTTGGACTTGAACGAACATTTTAAAAAAAGAATTGGCCAAATTGGTCCAGGCGTTATTGAGTTATGCGCTTACCAACACATTTTGCGATTCACTTTTATATATAAGATAAATTTAATGGCTTTCGCATACTTCAGGTTATTTTAAAATTATTTAAAGTTTGTTGAAAATTAGTCTTACAATATTGTTAAACATTGTGACTTTTGTTAATTAAATAATAGATTTTTATTATAAAAATATTATTTATTTTTTTATTTATGTTTTATGTGCTGTGAGTACAAAAATCGACAATGATGTGTTAAGTATAATAAATATTTTTTATTTGATAATCTAAATTAAATTTATAGTTTAGTATATTTCGATTGGATTTATTCTAAAGTAGAGTATGGAAATCAATATAACCCACATATTCGAAACATCCGGACCAAAAACATCCTATAGTGTGCAAAACTACAAACTATCTTAACGCAATGCAAACAGTATCGAAGTATGTAAGCAAATATTGAAAAATAAAAAACTTACAATTTGTGGGGTAATGTCAGAACACCCAAAACGATCATACATGCGATATTGTACAACATCTTCGGAGAACAGCACTAAAATCCAGTCCATGTGAAGGCGCGTATACATTGTTTGCGACATGAGATCACATCTGTGCAATGACGTATTGAAGCAACGAGAGCACTTCACTATTTTTCACTAAACACCAATGAGCCCTTTGCAAATGCATGTCCAGATAGTGCGTTGCACTACCCGCGACTCTGACGGGCTGCCGAGTCATATATAGGCATGAATTAATGAATCGCGCGCATATGATATATTGGAGCGTTGATACGATGATGTACTCTATAAGAAGTATCCGATTAAAATGGCGTCGGGCTGGCGTCAGAGGGTCGCTTATTCATATACTGCAGGATAAACAAAACACGAGCGCGCTACGATGCGTACGCCGGTGCGACTCGGCCCGACGGCGTTCGTAGCGACGTAGACGAGCCAGGGGCATGCGCTGCCGAGGTCTACGTACGTTCTACGCCGAAGAACAGATCGAAAGCGAACTCCATAGGATTCGATGGTAAGAGAAAACAAAATTACACCACTCGAGCGAAGCCTATCACATAATTGTCGTTACACAATATATCTTCTCGTAATCGTCGTGGAGACTATATAATCGAATTCGTTTCATTTTTCTCGGATACCATTCCATTACTTATATGAACACTAAGGGGGGTATTCTAGTGTAGAAATTCCAACAATTTGTTTTTCTTTATATTTTCAAAGCTGTATATTCAAGAATATATGTACGAAAGGATTTTCTTAAATCTAAATCATTTTTGAAGATAAAGTTTTCGACCATGATATTCTTCTTTATTGTCTTCCTTTTGCAAAAATTTTAAACGCGTTTTCTCAAAATTAACTTCTCAAACGATGTACATGATTTTTCGAGTTCTACTGAACCGATTTACTTGAAATTTTCATAGAATCTTCTTTACAGGCTTCTCTCTGGTATATACTACCCTCATCCCCATAATTTTTTTACTATTTTTAAAAAAATCAAGGAACTCAAAAAATTGGTAAAAATGGTCTTTTTTCCATTTTGTCAAAAAAAAATTATAGTAAAAAAATGGATTGCCTCAAATAGTAAAAAAATGGATTGCCTTTTTTACGACAATTTGAAAATTAACTAAAATGCATGCCCCTATACTAGAATATTCCCTTAAAATAATACCTACGCGTAGCAATTAGCGAGATTAGTATACAAAAAAAAAATAGTATAATTTATATTTGCAAATTAATTTATCTTGATATTTACTATAGAAAGACCAGTGGTGCATGAGATTGTGCCTCAAGGCAAATTGCTGGTACTTCCGGTATAGTAACTAAACATTTGCAAAATAAAGAATAAGTCAAATTAACGAATCATTAAATAAAAATTATCAATATTTTAAATTAATTATTACAAATACTGTGAATTTATTCTCTCAAAACTACTATTCATTAGACTTTTTGCCTGCCTTGTAAACATGTAATCGGATGTGCCGTTCTGTCTAAAAAAGTTTGTTTTTGCGCTTTTTGTTTCGTATTGCCGGAACGGCTAGACCTGCTTTTCCAAATACTAATCAGCACGTCTCTTCCACAATACGAATTGAATGTTATTTTAATGGTTCAAATCACTTGTATCGTACTTCCGATGTCGTGGACGAAAAATTGTATACAACCATACGCACACACATACATACATTCATTTTTCTAAGGTATACCAAATTCTCAATTTTCTAATTATAAGATATGCAAAAATGTTCATTTTTGACTTTTGGGTTTACTATAGTTTACCCTGCGGGAATTTAAAAAGTAGATAAATTATCTACTGATTTAAAAATAATTATAGTACATACATTAACTAAATATATATTTTACACAACCATTTGAAAGCAAACTCAATAAGATTTATACCAAAAATGTGGTTTTAATCTAAATTTGTTTATTCAAACTAATTCATACAAAACTTTGCTTAAAAACAAATAGTTAGCAAGTTACTACTGATTAAAATTTATAAAGGCGCCGTTCAATACTTTCTGAAGTAATGAATCATAATTGAAACATAAACGCGGTCTAAACACTAAGTTGATGTGACGTAGTTAAATTTGCCTTAACCCAATAACCCAATTCAAGTAAATAGAGCGCACATTGAATACGGCCAATGCATATAGAGAATATTACATAATTTGCAATAGATTTTTGCGGATCGAAGAAAAATTTAGCTAGTGGTGTATGACATCGTGTCTCAAGGCAAATACTGGAACTTCCCGTACCGTAACAAAATATTTGAGGAATATTAAATGTTTTCAAATAGATTATTATAATATTATAACATTGTCTAATATTTATATAAATTATATAAAACTGAATCGCAAAGTTAAAATTATTTGTTAACGTATATTAGAACTTTAGTTAGAATTAAAATTAAAATCTGAATTATTTTCGATATACAAAAAAAAATTGTTTTGAAGAAAAAAATTGAAAAAAAAACTACCCTACTTCCCGTAGGGTTAAAAAATAGAATATAATTAAAAATGAATTATACTGAAATAATTTATATGCGGTATGCTTTAATTAAACTGGAAAACACTAGGTGTAAGTGACATTGTAATATAGGTAATTATATAGTCATTGACTTAATAACAAAAATTGAGATTTAGCTTGAGTTAGTAGTAGAAACCTTTTACAATATAATAATATTAGTAGGTACTGCGCGAGTATTTGAATGGAAAGTTTTATCAATCACAATTGAATTTTGTTTATTATCTAAGAACCTATCATATATATAAGCAAATTAATTAATATAATATATAAATTACATATAATATAAAGTGTAGAAAATAAATAATTAACTTACTCATAGAGAAATAAATGATTTGCTATATCTTTACAAAAAATATAGTTTATCTTCGGATCTAAAAATATATTAAAATTTATAAAAGTACTTTAAGTTAATTAATAATAATAACATTTTTTACAAAAATGTGGTAAATATATGTACACTGCAAGTTATTAAAAACTTTACAAATACATACTTAAAAATCCTAACTGGTTAACAGCGCTGGCAACATAATAAAAGTTTGACAGCTTTTAGTGTTTGACATATCTCTTTGACAGTTTCTAACCACTTGATAATATCAATCCATATCAATAATGTCAAATCAATTTACTATCAAGCTTAATTAATTAATTATTTTAATTTAATCTAACCAAATTTAATAATAGAGTTCACCAACAATTATTATTATTATGTTTTAAGAGTTATATTTCAATTGTTATTATTCAATATGGTAGTAGTGATGCCGGAACTATTCCCTCAGAATTGATATGCCCCACTCAGGCATTGATTGGTTTATCTGGTCTAGATGCCAGAAATAACGCAATACATAGAGCTATTTGGGATGCTTTTAGTAGTAACCGTCTTTCAGACAGGTATATTATGACGACATAATTAATTAACGTCTATTCATTGCATTCTTCATATCTTTTACAAATAGAGCTCCAATACAGTATAAGCTACTTCCAATGATTATGAGTTTCCTATTTGTAAACCTAAGAGAACATCCATGAGTGGTATCTACCCAAAGGCATCTTGAAACGTAATTGGCTGCCTAAACATCTTAATGCCTTACCTGCGTTGTCATAGTATTTTTTGAATTAGACTGGAATGATCCACAATGGTCTGAGCGGAAACTAGAATGTGCCGCAGCTTTGCAGAGTATGCGTGCTGCTTTGCAGGTATATTGTAATATTTTAATAATAAACATTATAAATATAAGCTTTCACTTAAGTATTGTATTTTTACGCAAAATAAAAATTGTAAGCACAGAAATAGTTTTGGATCTTTCTCATTATTAGGGGGCGAAATACACGTTTAGGTTTAGCTCTAATTCAAACTACCACACCAATCCCTACCTCAGATGACACACAGACATCTGAGAAAGCTAATGCACTGGTGCTACTTGTGATATCACAAATAAGATGCTTTCATCTTACCTGTGAACGATCACTTAACAGGTATTACATTTGATTGTTATAAATCATATTTCAAATATATCATTATATGCAAGAAAAGTATTGTTGTAGGGTATGCTCAGCGTCTTGATTCCGCATTTTTGGAATTATGCCATGGTTATTATCAGCAAATGGCTAGAGTAATTCGATCTCATAAGGACCAGTTAACAACAGCACATCAGGGTTTGAAAACCAGACATCAGTTTAAATTGGGTGTTCTGTCAGAATTGCGACAAGATCCGAATATTGCACATAAGTAAATTGTACTTTACATTTTTCATTAATTTCCAAAATCTCAATCTAGTCATTTAAAATTTATATTGGACATTTATTGTATGTAATACAGGAAATTTATGTTTTAAATTTTTCACAGGCATTATACACAAGCATACTTAGCACTTGATGAAATACGAATAATAGACAATAATTGTTTAGAAATTAAAACTGTGGCTGGATACATAAATTATAAATTATGTCGTACTATGTTTCAACTTAATTTACCTAGAGATGCTATTAGTCAATTTAAATCACACATTGAGAGATACAAAACACGCATTGGTTGCAGGGAATTGGAGTTTGAGCATTATTCTTGGTTGAGCGCACAGTAAGTGTTAACTCATTTATAATTCTTATTTAAATTTTTCTCATATAAATTTTCAATAAGATATTTTGCATTTGCTGAACTGTTTAATGAAGCTGTAGATAAAGGTTTACCAGCAATACAAACACAACATCCAGGATATTATTATCAAGACGCTGCACGACATAGTATTTTGAGAAGAAAATCAATTGCAATATTAGCTCCCAACATATCAAAAGAGTTGCAGGTAAGTTTTGATGATTTTATCTATAAACCAAATCTTTTAATGCAGCAGAATAATTATAATATAACTTCTTACTGGGCATGTTTTATTATGATGATATGTTATTATTCTAATTTATGTGTATTGTACAAATATATAACACATTATTGGATTTCATTATTTTAACAATATGCAATGACTAAATTCATCATTTACTTTAAACATACGATTTTAATTTTTTAGGCCAAAAACTTTAGTTTTAATGAAGTACATAATTTATGTTTGTCTTTTATCTTACCAATATGAAAACATATTTATAAGTTGCATTCAACATTAATTTTAACTTGAAAAATGATTTAAAATTGTGCATGCGATAGAACTGAAATTTTCAAATTTTGTTTTTAATTTAAATAATGTTGAAATTATTGTTATTCACATTTTGATTATTTGGATTCATTAATTTGTTCATCTAATATTTGTGTATAGAACGATTTTAGGAAATGTTTTAAAGCACTATGATTTACATGACTATT